GACACCGAGTATATAGCCGTTGATGCTGCCGACTATGTGGTTTTGGCCGAAGGCGAAGAATTGGAACAGTGTGATGATGGTAGTGTTATTTTTCTGGCCGATGGCCAAGAGTTGATAGAAACAAGTGAAGTGGTAGAGGAACAAGATGATGATGCTACCATGATGATAACAGAGGATGGTCAGATGATGATGGTGGAGGAGGTGCATGAGATCATGGATGAGGAAAGTGGCGAGCAGCTGGAAGTGTATCAGCATGAAGAAGTAATAGAAGAACCGCCTACACCGCAGCAGTTGTGGGCAGAATTGGAAAAGAAAAGAAAGAGACTGAATTTGCCACGAGTACCGCGTAAGTTTATGCTGTTTGATGGTATTTGCGCGGAGATTGTAGACTACGATGATGAGGATAGTTCTCCCATAGTGGAATTTTCCATGGTGGCCGATGATCGTGAAGCGGAACGTTTGCCGGTGGAATGTGGCGTTTGCCCGGACATTATGCACAAATCTAAACTGGAGGCTCATTTAAAGACCCACCTCAAGCCGGGTACTAAACGCTATAAATGTATTTACTGTGAAGATGACTTCGTTACACGGGCCTATGCCGCCGGTCATGCTAGAAGGCATATGGGCATTAGGCCTTATGTTTGTGTACCTTGTAAAATGTACTATTGCACTAAACAGGATCTAAAAGTACATGAACAGCGTCGGCATTTAGCTAAGGAGCATATCTGCGAACAGTGTGGCAAAACATTTGCCCAAAATACTTCCTTAAGGCATCATCGTTTACTGGTGCACGAACAGCAGCGTAACTATGAGTGTGAACATTGTGGTAAAAAGTTTCTGCGTAAATATGCCATGACCGAACATGTACGCAATGTCCATTATGGTGATAGGAGACTGCTCGATTGTCCCTTCTGTGATTTACGCTTTAAGGATACCCATAAGCTGGCGCAACATCGCAAGGATATGCATTTGAATCAGGGTAAATTTGAATGTCGTGTTTGTGGTTTGGAATTTAATCACATCGACTTTTTTGATGCCCATCGTCGTTCTTTGCAATGTCGCAAAAAAAACTGGGACGTCATTTGTTCCAACAGAAACAGGATAATTATGATGAAATGGATTTGCAGCAACAACATCAAGATGATCAAACTATACTGCCCGATCAATTGCAGCAATACCACTATGAAGAAACAATTGGATCAGGGGCAAATGTATCATCACAATCAGCAGCAGGTAGTGGTGGAGGGGGAGGAGGAGGACGATAACAGTCAACAACAGCTAGATCAACATCAGCTTCACAATCAGCAATTCAAACAAGAGCAATTAGAACAGCAAGAAGTGTCGTAGAAGAGATCACCCATGATATGCACGATGAAATAGTAAATGAGCATGAGATAGAAGACCTAGAGGATCAGGAAAATATTGAGGTCGATGAACACGAAAGGTTAAGGCGGAACAACAGCTTTTATACGAAATTGCCGCCATGGATAATGCTTAAAAGATACCTTAAGTTTTCCAATTTAATTGTAATAGGTTTAAAATGTCTTGGCAGTGTCTTTGCTTTTAAAATTCAGTAAATGTTTTAGATATAGAAAGAAAAAATAATGTTAAATATTTGTAATAAAAATAAAATATATATTTTTTTGAGTAGAAATCTTATAAAAGGTTGACGGATACATATAAAAGATCTTTATAATAAACTAATTAAACATAGTCCTAATGAAATCTATTAAAATGGTAAAAACATGGGAAAAGATAGGAAGGAAGTAATGAAAAGAAATATTTTATGAAAAGAAATGAAAAGAAAAAATATTTTAAAATTTAAAACATAATTATAAAAGTTTTGGCCGGACTAGACTTTTGTTCAAATTTTTAATAAATTTCTTAAAATATGTGTTTTCAAACTAGCAAAAAATATAATTTTATTTTTCTCATATATAAAATTTTCAGGCGGGCCATAATTTTATTCATAAATATTTTAATTATATATATGTATATATTTGACAGCAGTTTCATTCAAACGATCTCTTTTAATCATTCTATTGTGAATGATTATTAAAAAGACAGCAACAAATTGCTCTTTTAAAAAGAGTTATTTGAGGATTTTTTATTACTTACAACGAAAAACTGTACAAAATCTCTTTAATTTTAAATAAAATATTTAAAGTTTTCCAAATTTTAAAGAAAATTTACCAATTTTTAAAGGAAATTTGAAAAAATTAATAAAACCTGGAGAGTTAAACAATTTCTCTCAGTGTATACTTAAAAAGAAAACAAAACAAATCATTGTGATTACAAAACACAAGACATGTTTGACACATATGTTACGATACTATTGTGAATGTGGTAGAAATATGTGAACGACAACAACAACAAAAGAACAACACAAATTTTTGACATTTGCTGACGCCTGTGTGTAAAAAAAACTTGAAAAATTTTAAGAAAAACGCGCAGAAATTTCTTTAAACAGGAAGAAAATCTTTAAAAATTTAATAATTACAATAAAATTTCAAACAAAGAATAATAGAAGATATTTTATTTTAACAAAAGTAAACAATTAGTGTAAACAAAATGTGTGATACCGCCGAAGATATGGATGAATATATTGAATACGAATTTGCACGCGATTGTATAGAAATTGCAGATGATTGTGAGGAGGTAGACGATGGCGTAGCAGTGGACAATGATTTGTTAATACAACATCACACGGAACATTTGCCCGAAGAAACTTTTCTCTATGAAGAAGACGATGAGGAAGAGCAGCAGCTGGAGGAGGAGGAGGATGAAATGCATGATTATGAAATTGTAGAAGAATTAGATGAAGATGTAGAACAACTATTAATATGTGATACGGCTTTAGACATTAAGGCAGAGGTATTAGAACCCACACAGCAGGAAGAGGAGGAAGAGGCGCAAGAAGAAACAAAAAATTTCAAAGAAGAATTTATGGATCAAGAGGTAGAAGAGGATCATTTAATAGATGAAGATACCGCAAATGGTTTTGGTCCGGAGGAGGAATTTCAGGAAATAGAATATGAGGAAGTGGGTTTAGAGGAGGAGCAAGCTATTGATGTAGAAGAAAAACTTATAATACCGGATAAAAGGAGGTAAAACAGGAAAAACCCAAAAAACCACCACCACAACCCTGTCCCGAGGATAAGGGACCCAAAGGAGTGGCTAGAAAGTATATGCTGTATGATGAACTAGTAGCCACTATAGTCGACTATGATCCAGATGGCACACCCATAGTAGAGTTCTCCGTATCAAATAATGAGGCTGATGAAAAGTTACCCATGGAATGTGGCATTTGTCCGGATGTTATGAGTAGAACAAAAATAACCGCCCATCTTAAGACACATCTAGTGCCGGGCACTAATCGTTATCAGTGCATTTATTGTGAGGGAAACCTATAAAGATTGCAAATATCTGGCCGGACATGCCCGACGTCACATGGGTATACGCCCCTATGTGTGTGAATTATGTAAATTATATTTTTCCACCAAACAGGACTTAAGGGTACACAACCAACGACGCCACCAGGAAAAAGACCACATTTGCGAGGTGTGTGGCAAAACATTTGCCCAAAATACTCAATTGAAACGGCATCGCGAGGCTACTCACGAAAAGAAACGGCGTTTCAAGTGTGACCTGTGTCCCAAGTCATATTACAAGAATTTCAGTCTGCAGGAACATATAAGGGCCGTGCACATGGGCAAACGACGTATTATTGTGTGTCCCTTTTGTGGCATGCAGTGTAGAGATGCCCACAAAATGGCCCGGCATCGCAAACAATATCATTTGCATCAGACGCACTTTGAGTGTCATATTTGTAATGAGGAATTTACCGATATCAATTATTTTGATGCTCACAAAAGATCTATACAATGTCGCAACAATACCCGCCGTAAACTAGAAGAAGAGGGTCAACAGCAGCAACAGGAAGAGGAACAGCAGCTTTTACAGCAGGCAGAAGAAGCCAAACAGGAGTTACTCATCGAAGATGATAGTAGTCAACAATATTTCTCAACACTCCAACGAACATAACCTGCTACATACGCAACAACAACAACAACAGCCAGAACAACACCTGCTTCATGGCCATGATGACGGTGAAGATGCTGATAATGCTTTAGAAACAGTACAAATTATAGATGAATGTGATTATAAACATTTAATAACAGCATCACCTACACACCAGCAGCAGCAGCATCATCATACAGGACAATTTATGTTAAATAATGATTTTCTGCAACATCATAAAATCGAAGAAATCTCGCCAGATGATGTGGCCGATGATGAGGAATTAGTTTATGAAATAACCATAGATAGTAATGAATGAATTTTCTTTCTTTTTTTTTTAGTTACTTAAAATTTGTTTTTTTTTTTAATTTAGTTATAAATATTTTAAAAATTAAACTTAAAGGTTCAAGGAAACTTTACAAATTTTCCAAATTCCTTTATTTAAGCAAAAAGGAAAGGTTTTACAATATCTTGTTAAACTTTTTTTTAAAAAACTATTGGGATTTTCTTAGTTTCTGCTTTTGTAGGCTGCATTCTTTTCTTTCTTTCTTTCTTCTGTTTTGTTGACAAATTTTAAACGAAAAAAACTTAAAACAAACAAACGTTATGCCTAAATATTATTGTAATTTTCTTATGTAGTAATTTAGTATTTTTAATAAATATTTAACAAAAACAACAAAAAAATATAAATAAATATAATTGTTGTAAGCGGTTTGCCTTTATATTAAAAAAAAGTGAAAGAATAATTATCAAATAAAACAATTGATGCCAAAATTTAAAGGACATAAAAAGTTTTATTTAAATTTGAAAAAAACAACAACGTTGAACCGATTATTTTAAGTGAAAAGTGACGAAAAGTAAAATTTACAATACAAGTTTTAGTGAAAAACTAACAAAAATATATATTTTATGGTAAAAAGAAATAAAAAGAAAAATCTTGCCCAAATCTTATCGGATTTTATTAAAATATTTAATATATGTACATCTATATCTTTATCTTCCATATAGACTAGATTATAGACCAGACTACAAATTAATTTATAGATGAAAGAAAAGACTAAATTATAGACTAGACTTGATAGCCTATAGTCTAATACTAGAGAACTTTAGCTTCTAGTTTAAGACAAATTTCAGGCGGACCAGGTTGGTTTGACTTTTAACAAAATTTCCCGTCGACCCTTAATGTTTATAAACATTTTTATCAATTAAAACGTCTCGTACCTTAAACCCTCGTGCGTTTTCCTTTTGATAACTCCACTCTCTTTATCAATACACATGTGTAACCAAAATCCGTAGCACAACAGGGAAACGATTAAAAATAATTTTAAACAAAAACAATAGAGAAAATTGGCCAAAAAAACAACTTATCTTATCAATTGGCAAAACAAAATTGAATAAAAAAAATATTTTCCTTTTTATTTGCTTTTAGTCATTAAAATGGGGCAAAATACAATTTAGTTTCTTTGCGGGTTCTAAATAATTAAAACAGAAATCGGGCGAAAAAAAATTCAATGTATTTAATTTTCACAAAATGTCTCCCGTTTTTACTAAAATATTAATAGATTTTATTAATGAACACGAAAATATCGGTTATGATATATTATCGGAGTTACATAAATTCGATTTGTATATTAAGGGCTATAAACATCCCGCCTTTCCCTCGGATGCCTTAAATGAGGAGCCTATAGAATTGGAATATTATAAAAAATCACTTAATAATGATAAAATTATAATGGATTATGCCCGCTACTCTTGGAACTCTCAGGGAGAAATGGTTTATAGTTGTCAAATTTGCGAGAAAATGAAGGTAACCACAAACAAAGATTTCACCGCCATGGATGACTTCTTATCGCATGTTGAGCATATGCATGGACCGAGCATTAAACAGGAACAGGAAGAACAAAGAATGGATAAGAAAACGGAAGAATTGTGGGTGGGAGAATTGGAGAGAATGAAAAAGACTGCTTATAAAAAACATAGTGAAGAGTTTCTCAAGGAAATCGATGAGGTAGGTCACAAACCCTTTAAAAAAAATCGAAAAAAAAAACTTTATCAGCTGCCGGGGAAAAAACATGATTATGTTTGTTCAAAAGATTAGTTAAACGTTAAAGCAAAAACAAACTTAACCTTTAAACTAAACTTTAGGTTAAACCGTGTTTTAAAATGTTAACATTTAAGCGGTTTTATAAAATAAACACATGTTACATCACTAATGCTTAACAGAAATGCTGATTTTGAGAAGTCCAATTTGACAACATTGTTTTATTTGTAAAATAATGGAATTAAAGTGATGCCAACGCATTCGTTTTAGTTTGACGTGTAAATTTTAATGAAAACAGCTCATTTAAGCAGATTACATGGCAAATTTGTAAAATTAACGAAATTTCTTTAAATTCACTAAAAATTTCTTTTAATTTCTCTCTGTTTAATGAAAATTCTGGAAAATTTTCCTAATTTCTTTATTCTAGTCTAATTGTTTTCTTAAACATTATAAAAAGTAATCCATCACTTATTAATCATTTTTTTTTGCAAAAAACAAATAAATTTATTTTGTTGCTATTATTTTTCTTTATCTTATCTTTAAATAAATAAACAAAAACCAGCGACATTGTAAATAAAACTTTTATTTACATTATTTTCAAACCCCCCCCAACAACAAGAAATCCCATTTACGAGACCAATTAAGTTTTGCTGCATATTATTGACCCAAAAGATTTATAAGTAGGATTAAATTTTTTTGTAAACTCAGCATGACAAAGTGGAATTTAATATTTTTTTATCAACACAAAAACAAAACATAACATCTTTTTAATATCTAATCTAATAATTTACAAAAACAAAAACAAAAAAGAACATAATTACGTCAAACTTTTTAATTAGATTAAAGTTAAGTGGTCTAAAGAAAATTACCCGTTTTATGGGTATGACAAATTTTGTGATAAAACATTGTTTAACATATTATTTTTATTGTTTTTTAAAAATAATTCAATAATAATAAACAAAAATAGTTTTTTTTTATGGGAAATTAATAATTATACGACCTTACAAGTTACTGATAAGTGTTGAGGCAGACTATTCTAATAAAAATCTACTAACGTTAAATGGTTTTATGATAAATTTTAACAGGGATTTGTATTAATATTAAATTTTTACCTTTTTTATGTAAAATTTTTTCGTTTTTATCATAAAATATTGCGATTTTTAGATAAAATATGTTTCATGTCTTCACTGCCTGTCATTTTCTTAAATAATGGTTGAAATAAAACAGTGTTAATAATTCCAAGTTTAAGTTGTAATATTGTTGGATTTAATATCAATAGATAACCAACTTCAGAACCCATTGACACTCTTTTAAATTAACCCCTTTATTATCGCTTTACGATTTCATGATTTCTTTTAAACCCCACTGATAAACTTAATAGATTAAGAGACAGATAGTCTAAAATAAAAACGACTGTTTTTAGTTTGAGATAAGAAACCGGCAGGTGGTCACGTATTTTCTGGAGTGAGCTAAACATGAATGTAAAGTGTGGACATTTTTGAAATTCTTACGATAAAGATATAAATAAACTAAATGATTTGCATGAATGCCAAAAGAAAATTTTAATTTTTGTATGTTAAAAGATTTCCTATCAAAAATAAGTGATAATTAAAAAAAATCGCTTGATTGGCACCACAGCTTATCACCTAACGGTTTTTTTTAGCGCTGCCATCTTAACAGTTTAACAATGATGCTAAATAGCTTAGCAAAAACCGCTTGTTTGTTTCAATTAACTAAAATGTGCAGCAAATTATTAAATTTGTACTTTTAATATAAAATTACATTATTTTTATTGTAACTAAACACATTTTTTACTTATTACCCTTTTATTTTCTTTACAGATCCTAGGCGTAGAAGATTTTGATGCCAATGGCATTTTGAATTCTTTAGAATCCCACAAAACTTCCGAACAAGATAATAATTCTGAAATTTTATCAGATTCCAGCAAAGAAAATGCCTTATCACCCTCTACCTCAACAACCAGCTCAACCGCCATCAGCTGCCCCACCCCAAAAATCTATAGTAAACCCTGCAAATTGTCTCAACAGGAACGGCAAAACAAACGGAAAAAGAAACGTACTTCGGGTCAATGTGACATCTGCAATCGTACCTTTAACGATCTCTACAATTTGCGTATACACAAAATGATCCATACGGGCGAAAAACCCTTCCAGTGTGAAGAGTGTGGTAAACGTTTTCGCCAGTACAATAAGCTAAAAATTCACTGTATTACGCATACCAATGAGAAACCCTTTAAATGTGATATCTGTGGTAAAGGTTTTCGTTTTCGCAATTATCTATCCGTACACAAACGTCTACATTCTGGGGAAAATCCCTATAAATGTAAATTTTGTGAAGAATATTTTCATTCTCTACACTCAAGACGTTTGCATACGAAACTTATACACACAGAGGCGAAAACTTTTACCTGCTCGATTTGTGGCAAAATCTTAACGGCTCAATGTTATTTGACAGCTCATATGAAAAGGCATACGAATCAGCGAGACTTTAAATGTGACAATTGTGGTAAATGTTTTTTAGTCAATCACAACTTAAGGATCATCAATTGGTGCATACCAACCTAAAGCCGTTTGAGTGTAATGTTTGTCAGGCCCGTTTCCAGCGTAAATCGAATTATACACAACATTTGAAAATACATACGGGCGAGAAGTCGTATGTCTGCTCTATATGCAATAAATCTTTTGCCCAAAATGCCGGGCTATATGGTCATATGAAATCACATGCTAAATAAAAAGTCCTTTAAGAGAGTATTTACTGAAATTTTTAAGCTCTTTGCTGGAGAAAACCCAAACAAGTGCTTTTTGGGGGAAAAGTTGTCGGATATCACTGTTAAACAGTTAGAAGTGGCAACTCGCAGAAACTATCGTTTAAAATAAAGCAGTGATGTCAACTAAACGTTTTGAAAACGTCAACTGCGAGTGCAATCGGAGTAATTCATAATGAATTGAAGCGGAAGAAACTTGAGGAAAATAAAAATTAATGAACATAAAATTATATGATGGAAACAATATTGTTAAATTTAAAATCAAAATTTAAATAAATATTATTAACAAAAATATACTTCTACTATAACTTTAATTTATAGTCTAATCGGATAGGCTAGTTCTTAGTCTATAGTCTGGTCTATAGTATAGTCTAGTCTATAGTGTAGTCTATATTCTAGTCTATAGTCTAGTCTATAGTCTAATCTATAGTCTAGTCTATAGTTTAGGTCTATAGACTAGTCTATAGTCTAGTTATAGTCTAGTCTATAGTCTAGTCTATAGTCTAGTCTATAGTCTAGTCTATAGTCTAGTCTATAGTTTTAGTCTATAGTTTAGTCTATAGTCTAGTCTATAGTCTAGTCTATAGTTAGTCTATAGTCTAGTCTATAGTCTAGTCTATAGTCTAATTATAGTCGAATAGTCTATTCTATAGTCTATTCTATAGTCTAGTCTATAGTCTAGTATATAGTCTAGTCTATAGTCTAGTCTATAGTCTAGTCTATAGTCTAGTCTATAGTCTAGTCTATAGTCTAGTCTATAGTCTAGTCTATAGTCTAGTCTATAGTCTAGTCTATAGTCTAGTCTATAGTCTAGTCTATAGTCTAGTCTATAGTCTAGTCTATAGTCTAGTCTATAGTCTAGTCTATAGTCTAGTCTATAGTCTAGTCTATAGTCTAGTCTATAGTCTAGTCTATAGTTTAGTCTATAGTCTAGTTATAGTCTAGTCTATAGTCTAGTCTATAGTCTAGTCTATAGTTTAGTCTATAGTCTAGTCTATAGTCGTCTATAGTCTAGTCTATAGTCTATTCTATAGTCTAGTCTATAGTCTAGTCATAGTTTAGTCTATAGTCTAGTCTATAGACTAGACTATAGACTAGACTATAGACAGACTATAGACAGATATAGACTAGACTATAGCTAGACTATGAATAGACTATAGGACTAGACTATAGACTAGACTATAGACTAGGACTATAGACTAGACTATAACACTAGACTATAGACTGACTAGACTATAACTAGACTATAGACTAGACTATAGACTAGACTATAGACTAGACTATAGACTAGACTATAGTACTAGACTATAGACTAGACTATAGACTAAACTATAGACTAGACTATAGACTAGACTATAGACTAAACTATAGGACTAGACTATAGACTACACTATAGAATAGACTATAGACTAGACTATAGACTAGAATATAGACTAGACTATAGACTAAAACTATAGACTAGACTATAGACTAGACTATAGACTAGACTATAACTAGACTATAGACTAAACTATAGACTAGACTATAGACTAGACTATAGACTAGACTATAGACTAGACTATAGACTAGACTATAGACTAGACATAGACTAGACTATAGATAGACTATAGAATAGACTATAGACTAGACTATAGACTAGACTATAGACTAGACTATAGACTAGACTATAGACTAGACTATAGACTAGGACTATAGACTAGACTATAGTACTAGACTATAGACTAGACTATAGACTAGACTATAGACTAGACTATAGACTAGACTATAGAATAGACTATAGAATAGACTATTCGACTATAATTAGACTATAGACTAGACTAAGGACTAGACTATAGACTAAACTATAGACTAGACTATAGACTAGACTATAGACTAAACTATAGACTAAACTATAGACTAGACTATAGACTAGACTAAGACTAGACTATAGACTAGACTAGACTAGACTATAACTAGACTATAGACTAGTCTATAGACTAAACTATAGACTAGACTATAGATTAGACTATAGACTAGACTATAGACTAGAATATAGACTACACTATAGACTAGACTATACTATAGACCAGACTATAGACTAAGAACTAGCCTATCGATTAGACTATAAATTAAAGTTATAGTAGAAGTATATTTTTGTTAATAATATTTATTTAAATTTTGATTTTAAATTTAACAATATTGTTTCCATCATATAATTTTATGTTCATTAATTTTTATTTTCCTCAAGTTTCTTCCGCTTCAATTCATTATGAATTACTCCGATTGCACTCGCAGTTGACGTTTTCAAAACGTTTAGTTGACATCACTGCTTTATTTTAAACGATAGTTTCTGCGAGTTGCCACTTCTAACTGTTTAACAGTGATATCCGACAACTTTTCCCCCAAAAAGCACTTGTTTGGGTTTTCTCCAGCAAAGAGCTTAAAAATTTCAGTAAATACTCTCTTAAAGGACTTTTTATTTAGCATGTGATTTCATATGACCATATAGCCCGGCATTTTGGGCAAAAGATTTATTGCATATAGAGCAGACATACGACTTCTCGCCCGTATGTATTTTCAAATGTTGTGTATAATTCGATTTACGCTGGAAACGGGCCTGACAAACATTACACTCAAACGGCTTTAGGTTGGTATGCACCAATTGATGATCCTTAAGTTGTGATTGACTAAAAAAACATTTACCACAATTGTCACATTTAAAGTCTCGCTGATTCGTATGCCTTTTCATATGAGCTGTCAAATAACATTGAGCCGTTAAGATTTTGCCACAAATCGAGCAGGTAAAAGTTTTCGCCTCTGTGTGTATAAGTTTCGTATGCAAACGTCTTGAGTGTAGAGAATGAAAATATTCTTCACAAAATTTACATTTATAGGGATTTTCCCCAGAATGTAGACGTTTGTGTACGGATAGATAATTGCGAAAACGAAAACCTTTACCACAGATATCACATTTAAAGGGTTTCTCATTGGTATGCGTAATACAGTGAATTTTTAGCTTATTGTACTGGCGAAAACGTTTACCACACTCTTCACACTGGAAGGGTTTTTCGCCCGTATGGATCATTTTGTGTATACGCAAATTGTAGAGATCGTTAAAGGTACGATTGCAGATGTCACATTGACCCGAAGTACGTTTCTTTTTCCGTTTGTTTTGCCGTTCCTGTTGAGACAATTTGCAGGGTTTACTATAGATTTTTGGGGTGGGGCAGCTGATGGCGGTTGAGCTGGTTGTTGAGGTAGAGGGTGATAAGGCATTTTCTTTGCTGGAATCTGATAAAATTTCAGAATTATTATCTTGTTCGGAAGTTTTGTGGGATTCTAAAGAATTCAAAATGCCATTGGCATCAAAATCTTCTACGCCTAGGATCTGTAAAGAAAATAAAAGGGTAATAAGTAAAAAATGTGTTTAGTTACAATAAAAATAATGTAATTTTATATTAAAAGTACAAATTTAATAATTTGCTGCACATTTTAGTTAATTGAAACAAACAAGCGGTTTTTGCTAAGCTATTTAGCATCATTGTTAAACTGTTAAGATGGCAGCGCTAAAAAAAACCGTTAGGTGATAAGCTGTGGTGCCAATCAAGCGATTTTTTTTAATTATCACTTATTTTTGATAGGAAATCTTTTAACATACAAAAATTAAAATTTTCTTTTGGCATTCATGCAAATCATTTAGTTTATTTATATCTTTATCGTAAGAATTTCAAAAATGTCCACACTTTACATTCATGTTTAGCTCACTCCAGAAAATACGTGACCACCTGCCGGTTTCTTATCTCAAACTAAAAACAGTCGTTTTTATTTTAGACTATCTGTCTCTTAATCTATTAAGTTTATCAGTGGGGTTTTAAAAGAAATCATGAAATCGTAAAGCGATAATAAAGGGGTTAATTTAAAAGAGTGTCAATGGGTTCTGAAGTTGGTTATCTATTGATATTAAATCCAACAATATTACAACTTAAACTTGGAATTATTAACACTGTTTTATTTCAACCATTATTTAAAGAAAATGACAGGCAGTGAAGACATGAAACATATTTTATCTAAAAATCGCAATATTTTATGATAAAAACGAAAAAATTTTACATAAAAAGGTAAAAATTTAATATTAATACAAATCCCTGTTAAAATTTATCATAAAACCATTTAACGTTAGTAGATTTTTATTAGAATAGTCTGCCTCAACACTTATCAGTAACTTGTAAGGTCGTATAATTATTAATTTCCCATAAAAAAAAACTATTTTTGTTTATTATTATTGAATTATTTTTAAAAAACAATAAAAATAATATGTTAAACAATGTTTTATCACAAAATTTGTCATACCCATAAAACGGGTAATTTTCTTTAGACCACTTAACTTTAATCTAATTAAAAAGTTTGACGTAATTATGTTCTTTTTTGTTTTTGTTTTTGTAAATTATTAGATTAGATATTAAAAAGATGTTATGTTTTGTTTTTGTGTTGATAAAAAAATATTAAATTCCACTTTGTCATGCTGAGTTTACAAAAAAATTTAATCCTACTTATAAATCTTTTGGGTCAATAATATGCAGCAAAACTTAATTGGTCTCGTAAATGGGATTTCTTGTTGTTGGGGGGGGTTTGAAAATAATGTAAATAAAAGTTTTATTTACAATGTCGCTGGTTTTTGTTTATTTATTTAAAGATAAGATAAAGAAAAATAATAGCAACAAAATAAATTTATTTGTTTTTTGCAAAAAAAAAATGATTAATAAGTGATGGATTACTTTTTATAATGTTTAAGAAAACAATTAGACTAGAATAAAGAAATTAGGAAAATTTTCCAGAATTTTCATTAAACAGAGAGAAATTAAAAGAAATTTTTAGTGAATTTAAAGAAATTTCGTTAATTTTACAAATTTGCCATGTAATCTGCTTAAATGAGCTGTTTTCATTAAAATTTACACGTCAAACTAAAACGAATGCGTTGGCATCACTTTAATTCCATTATTTTACAAATAAAACAATGTTGTCAAATTGGACTTCTCAAAATCAGCATTTCTGTTAAGCATTAGTGATGTAACATGTGTTTATTTTATAAAACCGCTTAAATGTTAACATTTTAAAACACGGTTTAACCTAAAGTTTAGTTTAAAGGTTAAGTTTGTTTTTGCTTTAACGTTTAACTAATCTTTTGAACAAACATAATCATGTTTTTTCCCCGGCAGCTGATAAAGTTTTTTTTTCGATTTTTTTTAAAGGGTTTGTGACCTACCTCATCGATTTCCTTGAGAAACTCTTCACTATGTTTTTTATAAGCAGTCTTTTTCATTCTCTCCAATTCTCCCACCCACAATTCTTCCGTTTTCTTATCCATTCTTTGTTCTTCCTGTTCCTGTTTAATGCTCGGTCCATGCATATGCTCAACATGCGATAAGAAGTCATCCATGGCGGTGAAATCTTTGTTTGTGGTTACCTTCATTTTCTCGCAAATTTGACAACTATAAACCATTTCTCCCTGAGAGTTCCAAGAGTAGCGGGCATAATCCATTATAATTTTATCATTATTAAGTGATTTTTTATAATATTCCAATTCTATAGGCTCCTCATTTAAGGCATCCGAGGGAAAGGCGGGATGTTTATAGCCCTTAATATACAAATCGAATTTATGTAACTCCGATAATATATCATAACCGATATTTTCGTGTTCATTAATAAAATCTATTAATATTTTAGTAAAAACGGGAGACATTTTGTGAAAATTAAATACATTGAATTTTTTTTCGCCCGATTTCTGTTTTAATTATTTAGAACCCGCAAAGAAACTAAATTGTATTTTGCCCCATTTTAATGACTAAAAGCAAATAAAAAGGAAAATATTTTTTTTTATTCAATTTTGTTTTGCCAATTGATAAGATAAGTTGTTTTTTTGGCCAATTTTCTCTATTGTTTTTGTTTAAAATTATTTTTAATCGTTTCCCTGTTGTGCTACGGATTTTGGTTACACATGTGTATTGATAAAGAGAGTGGAGTTATCAAAAGGAAAACGCACGAGGGTTTAAGGTACGAGACGTTTTAATTGATAAAAATGTTTATAAACATTAAGGGTCGACGGGAAATTTTGTTAAAAGTCAAACCAACCTGGTCCGCCTGAAATTTGTCTTAAACTAGAAGCTAAAGTTCTCTAGTATTAGACTATAGGCTATCAAGTCTAGTCTATAATTTAGTCTTTTCTTTCATCTATAAATTAATTTGTAGTCTGGTCTATAATCTAGTCTATATGGAAGATAAAGATATAGATGTACATATATATTAAATATTTTAATAAAATCCGATAAGATTTGGGCAAGATTTTTTCTTTTTATTTCTTTTTACCATAAAATATATATTTTTGTTAGTTTTTCACTAAAACTTGTATTGTAAATTTTACTTTTCGTCACTTTTCACTTAAAATAATCGGTTCAACGTTGTTGTTTTTTCAAATTTAAATAAAACTTTTTATGTCCTTTAAATTTTGGCATCAATTGTTTTATTTGATAATTATTCTTTCACTTTTTTTTAATATAAAGGCAAACCGCTTACAACAATTATATTTATTTATATTTTTTTTGTTGTTTTTGTTAAATATTTATTAAAAATACTAAATTACTACATAAGAAAATTACAATAATATTTAGGCATAACGTTTGTTTGTTTTAAGTTTTTTTCGTTTAAAATTTGTCAACAAAACAGAAGAAAGAAAGAAAGAAAAGAATGCAGCCTACAAAAGCAGAAACTAAGAAAATCCCAATAGTTTTTTTAAAAAAAAGTTTAACAAGATATTGTAAAACCTTTCCTTTTTTGCTTAAATAAAGGAATTTGGAAAATTTGTAAAGTTTCCTTGAACCTTTAAGTTTAATTTTTAAAATATTTATAACTAAATTAAAAAAAAAACAAATTTTAAGTAACTAAAAAAAAAAGAAAGAAAATTCATTCATTACTATCTATGGTTATTTCATAAACTAATTCCTCATCATCGGCCACATCATCTGGCGAGATTTCTTCGATTTTATGATGTTGCAGAAAATCATTATTTAACATAAATTGTCCTGTATGATGATGCTGCTGCTGCTGGTGTGTAGGTGATGCTGTTATTAAATGTTTATAATCACATTCATCTATAATTTGTACTGTTTCTAAAGCATTATCAGCATCTTCACCGTCATCATGGCCATGAAGCAGGTGTTGTTCTGGCTGTTGTTGTTGTTGTTGCGTATGTAGCAGGTTATGTTCGTTGGAGTGTTGAGAATATTGTTGACTACTATCATCTTCGATGAGTAACTCCTGTTTGGCTTCTTCTGCCTGCTGTAAAAGCTGCTGTTCCTCTTCCTGTTGCTGCTGTTGACCCTCTTCTTCTAGTTTACGGCGGGTATTGTTGCGACATTGTATAGATCTTTTGTGAGCATCAAAATAATTGATATCGGTAAATTCCTCATTACAAATATGACACTCAAAGTGCGTCTGATGCAAATGATATTGTTTGCGATGCCGGGCCATTTTGTGGGCATCTCTACACTGCATGCCACAAAAGGGACACACAATAATACGTCGTTTGCCCATGTGCACGGCCCTTATATGTTCCTGCAGACTGAAATTCTTGTAATATGACTTGGGACACAGGTCACACTTGAAACGCCGTTTCTTTTCGTGAGTAGCCTCGCGATGCCGTTTCAATTGAGTATTTTGGGCAAATGTTTTGCCACACACCTCGCAAATGTGGTCTTTTTCCTGGTGGCGTCGTTGGTTGTGTACCCTTAAGTCCTGTTTGGTGGAAAAATATAATTTACATAATTCACACACATAGGGGCGTATACCCATGTGACGTCGGGCATGTCCGGCCAGATATTTGCAATCTTTATAGGTTTCCTCACAATAAATGCACTGATAACGATTAGTGCCCGGCACTAGATGTGTCTTAAGATGGGCGGTTATTTTTGTTCTACTCATAACATCCGGACAAATGCCACATTCCATGGGTAACTTTTCATCAGCCTCATTATTTGATACGGAGAACTCTACTATGGGTGTGCCATCTGGATCATAGTCGACTATAGTGGCTACTAGTTCATCATACAGCATATACTTTCTAGCCACTCCTTTGGGTCCCTTATCCTCGGGACAGGGTTGTGGTGGTGGTTTTTTGGGTTTTTCCTGTTTTACCTCCTTTTTATCCGGTATTATAAGTTTTTCTTCTACATCAATAGCTTGCTCCTCCTCTAAACCCACTTCCTCATATTCTATTTCCTGAAATTCCTCCTCCGGACCAAAACCATTTGCGGTATCTTCATCTATTAAATGATCCTCTTCTACCTCTTGATCCATAAATTCTTCTTTGAAATTTTTTGTTTCTTCTTGCGCCTCTTCCTCCTCTTCCTGCTGTGTGGGTTCTAATACCTCTGCCTTAATGTCTAAAGCCGTATCACATATTAATAGTTGTTCTACATCTTCATCTAATTCTTCTACAATTTCATAATCATGCATTTCATCCTCCTCCTCCTCCAGCTGCTGCTCTTCCTCATCGTCTTCTTCATAGAGAAAAGTTTCTTCGGGCAAATGTTCCGTGTGATGTTGTATTAACAAATCATTGTCCACTGCTACGCCATCGTCTACCTCCTCACAATCATCTGCAATTTCTATACAATCGCGTGCAAATTCGTATTCAATATATTCATCCATATCTTCGGCGGTATCACACATTTTGTTTACACTAATTGTTTACTTTTGTTAAAATAAAATATCTTCTATTATTCTTTGTTTGAAATTTTATTGTAATTATTAAATTTTTAAAGATTTTCTTCCTGTTTAAAGAAATTTCTGCGCGTTTTTCTTAAAATTTTTCAAGTTTTTTTTACACACAGGCGTCAGCAAATGTCAAAAATTTGTGTTGTTCTTTTGTTGTTGTTGTCGTTCACATATTTCTACCAACATTCACAATAGTATCGTAACATATGTGTCAAACATGTCTTGTGTTTTGTAATCACAATGATTTGTTTTGTTTTCTTTTTAAGTATACACTGAGAGAAATTGTTTAAACTCTCCAGGTTTTATTAATTTTTTCAAATTTCCTTTAAAAATTGGTAAATTTTCTTTAAAATTTGGAAAACTTTAAATATTTTATTTAAAATTAAAGAGATTTTGTACAGTTTTTCGTTGTAAGTAATAAAAAATCCTCAAATAACTCTTTTTAAAAGAGCAATTTGTTGCTGTCTTTTTAATAATCATTCACAATAGAATGATTAAAAGAGATCGTTTGAATGAAACTGCTGTCAAATATATACATATATATAATTAAAAATATTTATGAATAAAATTATGGCCCGCCTGAAAATTTTATATATGAGAAAAAATAAAATTATATTTTTTTGCTAGTTTGAAAACACATATTTTAAGAAATTTATTAAAAATTTGAACAAAAAGTCTAGTCCGGCCAAAACTTTTATAATTATGTTTTAAATTTTAAAATATTTTTTCTTTTCATTTCTTTTTCATAAAATATTTCTTTTCATTACTTCCTTCCTATCTTTTCCCATGTTTTACCATTTTAATAGATTTCATTAGGACTATGTTTAATTAGTTTATTATAAAGATCTTTTATATGTATCCGTCAACCTTTTATAAGATTTCTACTCAAAAAAATATATATTTTATTTTTATTACAAATATTTAACATTATTTTTTCTTTCTATATCTAAAACATTTACTTAATTTTAAAAGCAAAAGACAACTGCCAAGACATTTTAAACCTATTACAATTAAATTGGAAAACTTAAGGTATCTTTTAAGCATTATCCATGGCGGCAATTTCGTATAAAAGCTGTTGTTCCGCCTTAACCTTTTCGTGTTCATCGACCTCAATATTTTCCTGATCCTCTAGGTCTTCTATCTCATGCTCATTTACTATTTCATCGTGCATATCATGGGTGATCTCTTCTACGACCACTTCTTGCTGTTCTAATTGCTCTTGTTTGAATTGCTGATTGTGAAGCTGATGTTGATCTAGCTGTTGTTGACTGTTATCGTCCTCCTCCTCCCCCTCCACCACTACCTGCTGCTGATTGTGATGATACATTTGCCCCTGATCCAATTGTTCTTCATAGTGGTATTGCTGCAATTGATCGGGCAGTATAGTTTGATCATCTTGATGTTGTTGCTGCAAATCCATTTCATCATAATTATCCTGTTTCTGTTGGAACAAATGACGTCCCAGTTTTTTGCGACATTGCAAAGAACGACGATGGGCATCAAAAAAGTCGATGTGATTAAATTCCAAACCACAAACACGACATTCAAATTTACCCTGATTCAAATGCATATCCTTGCGATGTTGCGCCAGCTTATGGGTATCCTTAAAGCGTAAATCACAGAAGGGACAATCGAGCAGTCTCCTATCACCATAATGGACATTGCGTACATGTTCGGTCATGGCATATTTACGCAGAAACTTTTTACCACAATGTTCACACTCATAGTTACGCTGCTGTTCGTGCACCAGTAAACGATGATGCCTTAAGGAAGTATTTTGGGCAAATGTTTTGCCACACTGTTCGCAGATATGCTCCTTAGCTAAATGCCGACGCTGTTCATGTACTTTTAGATCCTGTTTAGTGCAATAGTACATTTTACAAGGTACACAAACATAAGGCCTAATGCCCATATGCCTTCTAGCATGACCGGCGGCATAGGCCCGTGTAACGAAGTCATCTTCACAGTAAATACATTTATAGCGTTTAGTACCCGGCTTGAGGTGGGTCTTTAAATGAGCCTCCAGTTTAGATTTGTGCATAATGTCCGGGCAAACGCCACATTCCACCGGCAAACGTTCCGCTTCACGATCATCGGCCACCATGGAAAATTCCACTATGGGAGAACTATCCTCATCATCGTAGTCTACAATCTCCGCGCAAATACCATCAAACAGCATAAACTTACGCGGTACTCGTGGCAAATTCAGTCTCTTTCTTTTCTTTTCCAATTCTGCCCACAACTGCTGCGGTGTAGGCGGTTCTTCTATTACTTCTTCATGCTGATACACTTCCAGCTGCTCGCCACTTTCCTCATCCATGATCTCATGCACCTCCTCCACCATCATCATCTGACCATCCTCTGTTATCATCATGGTAGCATCATCATCTTGTTCCTCTACCACTTCACTTGTTTCTATCAACTCTTGGCCATCGGCCAGAAAAATAACACTACCATCATCACACTGTTCCAATTCTTCGCCTTCGGCCAAAACCACATAGTCGGCAGCATCAACGGCTATATACTCGGTGTCTTCTACTATGGATTCAGTTTCACTCATAATAATAAATCGGAAATTTTTGTATTTTCAAAAAAAGTTTCACCGATGATTTTTGTGTAAAAATTATAGCGGCAGGAAAAAATTTACCAACGCTGCCTTAGCTAATAGTGTTGCTAAAAATATAACAACAAAAGAAAATGGTTACTTTTTCATCAATCAAGTACTTGGTGGGGGAAATGTAACTTAAAACCAAGAAAAGATAGAAAGAAAATTGATTTGCCACCACACTTTAAAGAAAAAATATCATAAATATTTAAAAATTAAATATTTTTATTAAATTTATTTATTAAACTGCTATTTTTTTAATAATTTTACATTTTTCTTCTACAGTATTCCATAAGAATAAAAGTAATCGTTGTTGTTTATAAACACAATAATAACTAACTATTCACAATAGCATGACAATTTTAACATACACAATAGTCTCGTTTTTGTTTGTCACTGAAAAGAAAAGCTAAATAAAACAACATAAAGCTAAATAACGTAAATTTTTTCGTTTTTAATTAAAAATTAAGTAAAAGTTTAATAAATAAACAATATTATTAATAAATTAAAATAATTTGCTCGTAAAGTTTGTATATATTTACATAAAAGTGGGTTTTTTTTAATAAGTATGTTTGTTTTCTATAAAACTAAAAAAGAGCGCCAATTCATTTGGGACTCTATAAGTTTTATTAGTTTCCTTTTGTTACTAACGATTTTATTAAGTTTTTAAAACAAATAATAGCTAAACAGTTTGCTGTTTTTAATAGTTGTTTAATTAATGAAATAACCTTTTAGTATTTTAAAGTGAACTGACATGCCGGGGGAATCATTAAAGGTGGTCAATTGTCGGGACTATAACCTTGACTACAGTCATGTTTGTAGTGTGGATAAAGTTCCATTCTGTAGTCTGAAGTTTGGGATTTAGTCTAGTCTAAAGCGTGGTCTATTGTCGATAATCTGAAGTCTGCATTATAGTCTGCATTATAGCCTGCACAATAACTGAGTCTATAGTCTGGACTACTGAGTAGTCTATAGCCTGAGTTACAGTCTAGTCATTCTTCTGGACAACAGGGTAGTTTAAATTCTGAGATTCTCAATAGTTTAGTCTCTAGTCTACTCTATACTCTAGTCTATAGTCTACTCTATACTCTAGTCTATAGTCTAGTCTATTGTCTAGTCTATAGTCTAGTCTATAGTCTAGTCTATCTAGTCTATAGTCTAGTCTATAGTCTAGTCTATAGGTCTAGTCTATAGTCTAGTCTATAGTCTAGTCTATAGTCTAGTCTATAGTCTAGTTCTATAGTCTAGTCTATAGTCTAGTCTATAGTCTGCTATAGTTAGTCATATAGTCTAGTCTAGTCTAGTCTATAGTCTAGCTCTAGTCTAGTCTATAGTCTAGTCTAGTCTAGTCTATAGTCTAGTCTATAGTCTAGTCTAGTAGTCTAGTCTAGTAGTCTAGTCTATAGTCTAGTATATAGTCTAGTCTTAGTCTATGGTCTGTAGTCTAGTCTATAGTCTATAGTATAGTCTCTAGTCTAGTCTATAGGTTTAGTCTATAGTCTAGTCTATGTCTAGTCTATAGCTAGTCTATAGTCTAGTCTATAGTCTAGTCTATAGTCTAGTCTATAGTCTAGTCTATAGTCTAGTCTATAGTCTAGTCTATAGTGTCTATAGTCTAGTCTATAGTCTAGTCTATAGTCTAGTCTATAGTCTAGTCTATAGTCTAGTCTATAGTCTAGTCTATAGTCTAGTCTATAGTCTAGTCTATAGTCTAGTCTATAGTCTAGTCTATAGTCTAGTCTATAGTCTAGTCTATAGTCTAGTCTATAGTCTAGTCTATAGTCTAGTCTATAGTCTAGTCTATAGTCTAGTCTATAGTCTAGTCTATAGTCTAGTCTATAGTCTAGTCTATAGTCTAGTCTATAGTCTAGTCTATAGTCTAGTCTATAGTCTAGTCTATAGTCTAGTCTATAGTCTAGTCTATAGTCTAGTCTATAGTCTAGTCTATAGTCTAGTCTATAGTCTAGTCTATAGTCTAGTCTATAGTCTAGTCTATAGTCTAGTCTATAGTCTAGTCTATAGTCTAGTCTATAGTCTAGTCTATAGTCTAGTCTATAGTCTAGTCTATAGTCTAGTCTATAGTCTAGTCTATAGTCTAGTCTATAGTCTAGTCTATAGTCTAGTCTATAGTCTAGTCTATAGTCTAGTCTATAGTCTAGTCTATAGTCTAGTCTATAGTCTAGTCTATAGTCTAGTCTATAGTCTAGTCTATAGTCTAGTCTATAGTCTAGTCTATAGTCTAGTCTATAGTCTAGTCTATAGTCTAGTCTATAGTCTAGTCTATAGTCTAGTCTATAGTCTAGTCTATAGTCTAGTCTATAGTCCAGTCTATAGTCTAGTCTATAGTCTAGTCTATGGTTTAGTCTATAGTCTTGTCTATAGTCTAGTCTATAGTCTAGTCTATAGTCTAGTCTAGTCTAGTCTAGTCTATAGTATAGTCTATAGTCTAGTCTATAGTCTAGTCTATAGTCTAGTCTATAGTCTAGTCTATAGTCTAGTCTATAGTCTAGTCTATAGTCTAGTCTATAGTCTAGTCTATAGTCTAGTTTATAGTCTAGTTTATAGTCTAGTCTATAGTCTAGTCTATATTCTAGTCTATAGTCTAGTCTATAGTCCAGTCTATAGTCTAGTCTATAGTGTAGTCTATAATAGTCTAGTCTATAGTCTAGTCTATAGTCTAGTCTATAGTGTAGTCTATAGTCTAGTCTATAGTCTAGTCTATAGTCTAGTCTATAGTCTAGTGTATAGTCTAGTCTATAGTCTAGTCTATAGTCTAGTCTATAGTCTAGTCTATAGTCTAGTCTATAGTCTAGTCTATAGTCTAGTCTATAGTCTAGTCTATAGTCTAGTCTATAGTCTAGTCTATAGTCTAGTCTATAGTCTAGTCTATAGTCTAGTCTATAGTCTAGTCTATAATCTAGGCTATAGTCTAGTCTATAGTCTAGTCTATAGTCTAGTCTATAGTCTAGTCTATAGTCTAGTCTATAGTCTAGTCTATGGTCTAGTCTATAGTCTAGTCTATACTCTAGTCTAGTCTATGGTCTAGTCTATAGCCTAGTCTATAGTCTAGTCTATAGTCTAGTCTATAGTCTAGTCTAGTCTAGTCTATAGTCTAGTCTATAGTCTAGTCTATAGTCTAGTCTATAGTCTAGCCTATAGTCTGGTCTATAGTCTAGTCTATAGTCTAGTCTATAGTCCAGTCTATAGTCTAGTCTATAGTCTAGTCTATAGTCTAGTCTATAGTCTGGTCTATAGTCTAGTCTATGGTCTAGTCTATAGTCTAGTCTATACTCTAGTCTAGTCTATAGCCTAGTCTATAGTCTAGTCTATAGTCTAGTCTATAGTCTAGTCTATAGTCTAGTCTATAGTCTAGTCTATAGTCTAGTCTTTAGTCTAGTCTATAGTCTAGTCTATAGTCTAGTCTATAGTCTAGTCTATAGTCTAGTCTATAGTCTAGTCTATAGTCTAGTCTATAGTCTAGTCTATAGTCCAGTCTATAGTCTAGTCTATAGTCTAGTCTATAGTCTGGTCTATAGTCTAGTCTATGGTCTAGTCTATAGTCTAGTTTATAGTCTAGTCTATAGTCTAGTCTATAATCTAGTCTATAGTCTAGTCAATAGTCTAGTCTATAGTCATAGTCCATAGTCTAGTCATAGTCCATAGTCTAGTCTATAGTATAGTCTTAGTCCATAGTCTAGTCTGTAGTCTAGTCTACAGCCTAGTCTATAGTCTAGTCTATAGTCTAGTCTATAGTCTAGTCTATAGTCTAGTCTATGGTCTAGTCTATAGTATAGTCTATAGTCTAGTCTGTAATGTAGTCTAATCTATAGTCTAATCTATAGTCTAGTCTATAGTCTAGTCTATAGTCTAATCTATAGTCTAGTATATAGTCTAGTCTATAGTCTAGTTTATAGTCTAGTCTATAGTCTAGTCTATAGTCTAGTCTATAATCTAGAAATTATTAAATTAAATTAGTGCAAGAAAATAACTTTAATATTCGATTTTTTGTAGAATTTGCATTTCATAAGTTTTTAGTTTTTATGTTTATCATTTCATAACTTTTGCCAACATTAATATATAATAATACTTTTATTTTTTACTAAGAATAATAACTTTTATATTGTCTAATTTCAGCTGTTTATTAGAATTTTAACATAAACACACAGTTTAAATAGAATTTAACGGATAAATAATAAGATAAGAAAACATACATAAAAAACAACTAACGAATAATATGTACCGCTTTAAACAACTACAGCAACAACAACATAATAATCATCATTTTCAACAACAACACCTCATCAAACAAACAACGTGCAATGAACGCATTAAAAAAAGGTTTATACAAAAGTGTTGCAAAAGCCGGTCAAGTGTAACAGTGCCACAAAAGGTTTACTTCTGTTTTTTAATACACAAGAACTACGGTTAAGACAAACAACTAAAGTAAAGTGATTTAAGTAAACAGCAACAAAAATAGCAACAACTAAACATGTGCCACCAAATTGTTTACACTCTAAACAAGAAAACAAAGTGTATAAAAAAACTCTTAAAAAAGAAGAGTTTAAAAGAGCGCCTGCGTAACGTAAAGTGTTTGTGTGGAGGTTTTTGGTTTGAATGAAACATTTAACCAAGGTAAGTTTGTAGTAAGTATATTTTTAATATTTTTTCTTATTAAAAACTAGCAGCTAAAACAGATTTGTAGTTTTTTGTTTAATTGAAAATATGAATTAAAAAAAACTGACCGTAACAGAAAATGATTTTATTAAAGAGGCATTTAAAAGACAGGTGATTAAGATGTTAGTGTTGGAAAATAGTGGTGGTCTTAACGGTCAATGCTACTGTAATTACTTTTAATAATCTACAAATGTTGGTTTTTGGGGAGGTAGAGAAACTGGAAGGAGGGAAGGTTAAATAAGATAAAGTAGATAATGTTTTAAAAAATAGTGAATAATTCTTAAAGATTGTGAAATACTTGAAAAACTAACTAACTAACTAACTAACTAACTAACTAACTAACTAACTAACTAACTAACTAACTAACTAACTAACTAACTAACTAACTAACTAACTAACTAACTAACTAACTAACTACTAACTAACTAACTAACTAACTAACTAACTAACTAACTAACTAACTAACTAACTAACTAACTAACTAACTAACTAACTAACTAACTAACTAACTAACTAACTAACTAACTAACTAACTAACTAACTAACTAACTAACTACTAACTAACTAACTAACTAACTAACTAACTAACTAACTAACTAACTAACTAACTAACTAACTAACTAACTAACTAACTAACTAACTAACTAACTAACTAACTAACTAACTAACTAACTAACTAACTAACTAACTAACTAACTAACTAACTAACTAACTAACTAACTAACTAACTAACTAACTACTAACTAACTAACTAACTAACTAACTAACTAACTAACTAACTAACTAACTAACTAACTAACTAACTAACTAACTAACTAACTAACTAACTAACTAACTAACTAACTAACTAACTACTAACTAACTAACTAACTAACTAACTAACTAACTAACTAACTAACTAACTAACTAACTAACTAACTAACTAACTAACTAACTAACTAACTAACTAACTAACTAACTAACTAACTAACTAACTAACTAACTAACTAACTAACTAACTAACTAACTAACTAACTAACTAACTAACTAACTAACTAACTAACTAACTAACTAACTAACTAACTAACTAACTAACTAACTAACTAACTAACTAACTAACTAACTAACTAACTAACTAACTAACTACTAACTAACTAACTAACTACTAACTAACTAACTAACTAACTAACTAACTAACTAACTAACTAACTAACTAACTAACTAACTAACTAACTAACTAACTAACTAACTAACTAACTAACTAACTAACTAACTAACTAACTAACTAACTAACTAACTAACTAACTAACTACTACTAACTAACTAACTAACTAACTAACTAACTAACTAACTAACTAACTAACTAACTAACTAACTAACTAACTAACTACTAACTAACTAACTAACTAACTAACTAACTAACTAACTAACTAACTAACTAACTAACTAACTAACTAACTACTACTAACTACTAACTAACTAACTAACTACTAACTAACTAACTAACTAACTAACTAACTAACTAACTAACTAACTAACTAACTAACTAACTAACTAACTAACTAACTAACTAACTAACTACTAACTAACTAACTAACTAACTAACTAACTAACTAACTAACTACTAACTAACTAACTACTAACTAACTAACTAACTAACTAACTAACTACTAACTAACTAACTAACTAACTAACTAACTAACTACTAAACTAACTAACTAACTAACTAACGAACTAACTAACTAACTAACTAACTAACTAACTAACTAACTAACTAACTAACTAACTAACTAACTAACTAACTAACTAACAACTAACTAACTAACTAACTAACTAACTAACTAACTAACTAACTACTAACTAACTAACTAACTAACTAACTAACTAACTAACTAACTAACTAACTAACTAACTAACTAACTAACTAACTACTAACTACTAACTAACTAACTAACTAACTAACTAACTAACTAACTAACTAACTAACTAACTAACTAACTAACTAACTAACTAACTAACTAACTAACTAACTAACTAACTAACTACTAACTAACTAACTAACTAACTACTAACTAACTAACTAACTAACTAACTAACTAACTAACTACTAACTAACTAACTAACTAACTAACTAACTAACTAACTAACTAACTAACTAACTAACTAACTAACTAACTAACTAACTAACTAACTAACTAACTAACTAACTAACTAACTAACTAACTACTAACTAACTAACTAACTAACTAACTAACTACTAACTAACTAACTAACTAACTAACTAACTAACTAACTAACTAACTAACTAACTAACTACTAACTAACTACTAACTAACTAACTAACTAACTAACTAACTAACTAACTACTAACTAACTAACTAACTAACTAACTAACTAACTAACTAACTAACTAACTAACTAACTAACTAACTAACTAACTAACTAACTAACTAACTAACTAACTAACTAACTACTAACTAACTAACTAACTAACTAACTAACTAACTAACTAACTAACTAACTAACTACTAACTAACTAACTAACTAACTAACTAACTAACTAACTAACTAACTAACTAACTAACTAACTAATAACTACTAACTAACTAACTAACTAACTAACTACTAACTAACTACTAACTAACTAACTAACTAAACTAACTAACTAACTACTAACTAACTAACTAACTAACTACTAACTAACTAACTAACTAACTAACTAACTAACTAACTAACTAACTAACTAACTAACTAACTAACTAACTAACTAACTAACTAACTAACTAACTAACTAACTAACTAACTAACTAACTAACTAACTACTAACTAACTAACTAACTAACTAACTAACTAACTAACTAACTAACTAACTAACTAACTAACTAACTAACTAACTAACTAACTAACTAACTAACTACTAACTACTAACTAACTAACTAACTAACTAACTAACTAACTAACTACTAACTAACTAACTAACTAACTAACTAACTAACTAACTAACTAACTAACTAACTAACTAACTAACTAACTAACTAACTAACTAACTAACTAACTAACTAACTAACTAACTAACTAACTAACTAACTAACTAACTAACTAACTAACTAACTAACTAACTAACTAACTAACTAACTAACTAACTAATAGAAAAGTTTCTTGAGAATGTTTTTTTTTATAGAAAAGTTTCTTGAAAAAGTTTTTTTATAGAATTTTTTTTTTAGAAATTCTTCTTATGCAAAAGTTTCTTAAAAAAGTTTTCTTCTAGAAAAGTTTCTTGAGAAAGTTTTATTATAGAAAAGTTTCTTGAGAAAGCTTTCTTCTTGAAAAGTTTCTTGGGAAAGTTTTCTATTATAACAGCTTCTTCAGAAAGCTTTTATTAGAAATGCTTCTTCAGAAAGTTTTCTATTAGCAAAGTTTTATAAGACAGTTTTCTTACAGAAAAGTTTTTGAAAAAGTTTTCGTATAAAAAGGTTTCTTGAGATGAAAAGTTTTTTAAAAAAGTTTTTTTTATATAATTGTTTCTTGAGAATAATTTCTAGAAGGAAGTTTCTTGAGAAAGTTTTCTTACAGAAAAGTTTCTAGTTTTATTACAGAAAAATTTCTTTTCTAAAGAAATGTTTTTTATAGAAAAGTTTCTTGAGACTGTTTTCTTATAGAAGCGTTTCTTGAGAATGTTTTTTTTTACAGAAAAGTTTCTTGAAAAAGTTTTCATATAGAAAAGTTTCTTGAGAAAGTTTTCATATAGAAAAGTTTCTTGAGAAAGTTTTCTTCTAGAAAAGTTTCTTTAGAAAGTTTTCTTCTAGAAAAGTTTCTTGAAAAAGTTTTCTTTGTGAAAAGTTTCTTGCGAAAGTTTTCTATTAAAAAAGCTTCTTCAGAAAATTTTTATTAGAAATGCTTCTTTAGAAAGTTTTCTATTAACAAAGTTTTTTTTAAGACAGTTTTCTTACAGAAAAGTTTTTGAAAAAGTTTTCGTATAAAAAGGTTTCTTGAGATGAAAAGTTTTTTGAGAAAGTTTTTTTTTTTATATAATTGTTTCTTGAGAAAATTTTCTAGAAGGAAGTTTCTTGAGAAAGTTTTCTTACAGAAAAGTTTCTAGTTTTATTACAGAAAATTTTCTTTTCTAAAGAAATGTTTCTTATAGAAAAGTTTCTTGAGACTGTTTTTTTATAGAAAAGTTTCTTGAAAAAGTTTTCTTTGTGAAAAGTTTCTTGCGAAAGTTTTCTATTAAAAAAGCTTCTTCAGAAAGTTTTTATTAGAAATGCTTCTTTAGAAAGTTTTCTATTAGCAAAGTTTTAAAAGATAGTTTTCTTACAGAAATGTTTTTGAAAATGTTATCGTATAAAAAAATTTCTTGAGAATAAAAAGTTTTCTATAAGTTTTCTATACAAATTAGGAAATTTCAAAAAAAGTTTAGGTAAATTACATTTAAAGTAGCTGAATTTGAATTTTAGTTAATTTTTATTCTAATTTATAACATTTATTTAATTTCCTTTTAAAAATTTCCCTTTTTGCTAATTTCCTAAATGTAACCTGCCAAAAAAGTAACGGTTAAATAAAATAGTAGCCAGCTATCTGTCACTCATTCATGTAAATTTGTTAACATTTATTTACATCTGCTCTAATAGATGAGAGTATTTCTATGTGTAGAGTGTGTGTGAGTGTTTGGCAAAAGTTGGCAACAGCTCTTGTTATTGTTTTATTTTTGTTTTCTTGCCGTTTTGTTTACCTTTCTTGTTTACTTTTTCTACTGTTATGATTATTATGTTGTTATTGTTGTTTTACTACTTACTACTGCTACTAACACTTTACTCAACATGATTATGAATAGAGTTGTTGTTAGCATAATGATGTTTAGCCTTACAAATGATCATTTACTTTTATTTGTTGCTTCTTTTTTTATTAAAATGTTGATGATGATGATGATGATGATAGTTTTTCATGGTTTTGTTGTAAAGTTAGCTAGAGTGCTGCTTCTTAGCTTGTTTAAGTGATAAGCTTTTGTTATTACAGTTTTAAACGCGCTTGCGAGTGGTTAGTCTAACATTTTTAAGGCGCATGCGTGTGTTTTATTAAAATAAAAACAAACTCTCGTCTAAAGTAAAATTATTCGCAGTTTTCATTTGAAAAGAAAAAGAAAAATCTTGTCTCGTTATTAAGTTAAAACATCTTCAATTTGTTGTGTGTGTTTGCCGTCAAACCTGCCATTTTATTCCTGTGTTTATTTTAAACATCTTTAAAGAAAAAAGTTTATTTTTTATTATATTGATGTTGTTGTCGTTTTGTTGCCGGTTTAAAATTGTGTCAATTCTAAGTGGAACATACTATATTAGTGTACCGGTTGTCCAGTCTTAGACAGTTTTCTTGAAAAAAAAGTGTGTTACAAATTATTTATTACTTTAATTTGATGAAAAATTTTTGTGCAAATTTTCCAATACCAAAAAAAGAAAGAAAATTAGTTTAAAATATTTGCTAAAAAAATCCATATAAAAATTATTAAAGAATTATTAAGCAATTACTAAAGCCTTAAAAGGTTTTGTAAAGGAATCTTGAGTTCCATTTAAATTGGTAAGAATTTTAATAAATAAATAACCGTTAACCAGCTTACTTTATAATAAACCAAATTATAACCAAAAATTCCAGCTGAATAGCAATTTTAAGTAGCTGAATTACAGTTTTGATAAAGTTTCATAAGTTTCATTAAAAAATCTTGAAAAAAAAGTTTAGCTGAATTGCATTTAAAGCCGCTGAATTGCAATATTTACTAAAAATTTTAAACAAAACCATAAGTTTTATTAGAAAAAGTTTTGCTGAATAGCATTTAAAACAGCTGAATGGCTATATTAATTAAAATTTTATGAAATTCTTAACAAAATCATTAAGTATTATAAGAAAAAGTTTTGCTGAATTATGTTTAAAGCAGCTGAATTGCAATTTTAGTTAATATTTCATAAGAAAAATTGTTTAAAATTTGAAAATTTACTTAAATAGACTTGCTGAATTACCTAAAAGGTTGCTGAATAACATTTTTGTAATAAATTTATAAAAAAAGTTTATTAAATTTAACAAATCTTTGAAAAAAGTTTTGCTGAATTAAATTTTAAATAGCTGAATAGCAATTTTTGTTAATTATTTAGAAAAAAATAGGGAAAGTCTAGCTGAATTGGCTTCAATTCAGCTGAATTGCTTTTTTGGTTAATAATTTATGAGAATATTAATAAATTCTTTAATTTTTATTACAAAAAGTTTTGCTGAATTTCATTTAATGAAGCTGAATTACAATTTTAGTTAATAATTCATATGAAAATTTTTTTTAAAATTAAAAAATTTACTTAAAAAGACTTGCTGAATTGCTTAAAATGGTACTGAATGATAGTTTTGTGGTAAATTGACAAGAAATTTTTGCAAAAATTAAAAATATCTTAAAAAAAGCTTAGCTGAATTACAATTTCAGACAATAATTTTTAAAAACATAAACAGAAACATTAAATTTTTATTTCAAATAGTGTAGCTGAATTGTTTTTAATGCAGCTGAATTACGATTTTAGTTCATAATTTATAAGAACATTAACAAAATCTAAAAATTTGCATCAAAAAACTGCAGCTGAATTATATTTAAAGCAGCTTAATTACAATTTTAGTTCGAAATTTATAAGAACATTTACAAATTATTAAATTTTTTTATAAAAAGTTTTGCTGAATTGCTTTTAAAGCAGCTGAATTACAATTTTGGTTAATATTTAATAAGAAAAATGTTTAAAATTTGAGAATTTTATTAAAAAAAGTCTTGCTGAATTACATTTATAGTAGCTGAATTATAGTTTTGTGATGAATTTTTAAAAAATATATATCAGATTTAAGAAATAATTGCAAATATGTTTGCTGACTTGCATTTCCAGCAGCTGAAATACAATTTTAGTTTAAAAATTATAAGAACATTAACAAAATCTAATATTTTTTCTTAAAAAAGGTCCTGGTGAATTGCTTTTCAAGTAGCTGAATTAGAATTTTAGTTAATATTTTATAAGATAATTATTTAAAAATGTAGAGTTTACTTTAAAAATCCTAACTGAATTAGATTTAAAGTATCTGAATTATAGTTTTATGGCAAATTTATACAAAATTTAAAAAAAAAAAATCTTGAAATAGAGTTTTGCTGAATTGCGTTTAAAGCTGCTGAATTGAAATTTTAGTTAATTATTTAAAAGAACATTAACAGAAATTAATGTTTTTAAACAAAAAGATCCAGCTGAATTGTTATTTTTGTAGATATTTTGAAGGATTTACTATTAAAATTTATAAATTATGGAAAAAAGATTTGCTGAATAGCTTTTAAACTTGCTGAATTAGAGTTTTATATTGAAATTAAAAGAAATTTTTCTGCAATATGAGAAATTACTAAAAAAAAAGTTTTGCTGAATAGCAATTTAAGTAGCTGAAGCAATTTTCGTTAGTATTCTTTATGAATTTGACAGATAGTTATTTTCTTATAAGAAAAATTCTAGCTGAATAAAGTTAAAAGCAGCTGAATTATAGTTTTTGATGATAATTTTTTAGAAAATATAATAATTTTAAAAGAATATGACAAAAATTTTAGCTGAATTGGATTTTTTGTAGCTGAATAGTTATTTTTGTGGATATTTTAAAAGAAATTGCTGTAAACATTTTAGAATTAGGTAAAAAAGTTTTGCTGAATTGCTTTTAATATAGCTGAATTAGAGTTTTAGGTTTATATAACAAGAAATTTGTATAAAATTTTACTGAATATAACAATTAAGTTTAAATTTAAAGAATTTTTCTTTTTGTTAAGAATTAATTAATCTTAATTTAACTTTCTCTACACCAATTAGCTACTAATACCTATTAATTACTTATAAATTAATCATTAATTTAACCCGCTAACCTTGTTAAGCATTTGTAGCAGCATTAAGATTGATTAGTTGTCACAATTGAGATTTTCACAAAATTTTAATATATATATATATTTTTTTTCTATTTCAATTTTAACTTGTATAGCCAAGTCAATAAACTAGATTTAGTTTTTTTCTGTTGCTTTCAAAACCAATTGTTTTTGCTTTAAAATCCATAGAAGAATTCAGTTTAAGTTGGTCACAACATTTAAATGTTGTTTTTTTTTTCAAACGTATTGAAAGAAAAAGCTTTAAAATGTAGAGAAGAAAAAGAGGAACAAAAAAATTGAATGGTCAACTAAGATTTACGATGTTTTCAATTTTTATGACACCTATGACTTTGAAATTAAATAAAGAAAAAGGCGAGAAAAAGAGGTAGTCACAGTTGTTCAGAAAAATAAGTGTGAAGTTTACTTAAAGCAAAAGCTATGAGGAGTTTTAAGTTTTGTTAAGTTTAAGTGAAGGGTCCTAATACTTTTTAAAGCAGAAAATTAGCTTTAATTATTGCTTTATATTAAGTTAAATATTTGCATATTTATGCTAAACTGTGATTACTGTTAATAATTATGTAGTTTATTTGCATTATTTAGTTTAAATATTTATTATAATTTTCATTATTTTTTAAGCTTACAATTAAAAAAACTGTAAAATAAAGTTTGTTTCCTAAAAAATTAATGTTTACATTTCTCTATTTCCAACAATAAAGTTTGTTTCTCAAGTCTTCTATTTACAAGGTCGCCATGTTACTGTTTGTTTCTTAAGCTTTTAATGTTTACATTTCTCTATTACCAACAAAAAAATTGGTTTCTGAAGTCTTCCTTTTTCTAACAAGGACGCCATATTGCTGCTTGTTTCTTAAGTCTTTAATGTTTACATTTCTTTGTTATTGAAAAAAAAACAAGCAGGTTTGTTCCTTAAGTCTTTTCCATTTACATTTGCCAAAAATGTCATGTTTCTTATGTCTTCAATGTTTACATTTATTTTACTTTGAAAATTTGCTTAAGGTTTGTTTCCTAAGTCTTTGTTGTTTATATTTCTCTCTGCAGTGTGTGGGAGTGTGTTTGTTTCTTATGTTTTGTTTATTTACATTTCTTTATTATTGAAACGGTGACATATTAAGGTTTGTTTCTTAAGTCTTAGTTGTTTATATTTCATTATACAGAGAGAGCTATAGGTTTTGTTTTTATTTTCATTGTTATTGTATTATTGTGAATGAAAGAAATAAAAATGGATGCTGGTTTTAGCAACTTAATTGTTTTTTAGTGATTTTTTATTAGGAAAAATAAATAATTTTAAAGTTTTTAATCTATAAATACACAAAAAACATTACAAATTATATTTATATTAACATAAAATCATATTTAAGGTTAAAATTAATGAAAATAAAGTAATATAAAGTTAAATTAAAAAACTCGGGTTTTTACTAAATTTTAATTGAAAAAAAGTCTTTAAATAGTATTTTTAAATAACATATTTTCTTAAAATTTTCAAAATTTTAAAATTTTCTTTTTATTTGCCCTTTAAAATTGTATTTTTATTGAACTTTTAACTTTCAAATCTTATTTTATCAAATATTCTGTTTGTTTGAAATACTAATTCTTATTCGTCTTTCTTTTAGCATAAATTTAAAAGCATTTAAAGTATTTATGTTATTATTTAAAAACTGCCAATTATTTTTTGACATAAATATTCATTTGTGTCAGTTTTTTCACACGCAAAATCATAAATTGTTCAAAACGGTAGATTGAAATGATGGTTGGGTGTTTTTTAAACCTGTAATTAAGAAAACGTCACAGAATATTTAAATAAATAAAATGTTATAGTCAAGTCAATAGTATAGTCTATAGTATAGTCTATAGTGTAGTCTATAGTGTAGTCTAAAGTGTAGTCTATAGTTTAGTCTATAGTCTAGGCTCTGTAAATTTTCCAAAGTCTAGTCTATAGTCTAGTCTATAGTCTATAGTCTAGTCTATAGTCTAGTCTATAGTCTAGTCTATGGTCTAGTCTATAGTCTAGTCTATAGTCTAGTCTAGTCTAGTCTAGTCTAGTCTATAGTCTAGTCTATAGTCTAGTCTATAGTCTAGTCTATAGTCTAGTCTATAGTCTAGTCTATAGTCTAGTCTATAGTCTAGTCTATAGTCTAGTCTATAGTCTAGTCTATAGTCTAGTCTATAGTCTAGTCTATAGTCTAGTCTATAGTCTAGTCTATAGTCTAGTCTATAGTCTAGTCTATAGTCTAGTCTATAGTCTAGTCTATAGTCTAGTCTATAGTCTAGTCTATAGTCTAGTCTATTAGTCTAGTAGTCTATAGTCTAGTCTATAGTCTAGTCTATAGTCTAGTCTATAGTCTAGTCTATAGTCTAGTCTATAGTCTAGTCTATAGTCTAGTCTATAGTCTAGTCTATAGTCCTAGTCTATAGTCTAGTCTATAGTCTAGTCTATAGTCTAGTCTATAGTCTAGTCTATAGTCTAGTCTATAGTCTAGTCTATAGTCTAGTCTATAGTCTAGTCTATAGTCTAGTCTATAGTCTAGTCTATAGTCTAGTCTATAGTCTAGTCTATAGTCTAGTCTATAGTCTAGTCTATCTAGTCCTAGTCTATAGTCTAGTCTATAGTCGAGTCTATAGTCTAGTCTATAGTCTAGTCTATAGTCTAGTC